ACTTTTCTTTTAAAAAAGAATTATTTAAAGAAAAACAAATAAGATTTTTGCTTTAAATCTTTTTTTTTTAAAAGTTCGATAATATCATTTGTCATCATTAGCCTTCATTTAATCTTCGGATTATGCGTACTGCTTTCTAAATTTTACATATAATCGCAATAATACCCTTTTTTTCATTTTTTTTTTTGAAACAAATAATTTTTCTGTTTATAAGTTAAATCTATGTCTAAAACATAAAATTATATTGTAATAATCTTGTTGCAAAGATAATCATTATCACAAAGAACTCGGAATTAATTTTTTTCCCCATTTCTGATTATTCTCTCTTAATAACTTCACTTTAATAAATATTTTTCCAGTATTTATGAAGAAAATAACAAATTTCGTTTCATTTATAAAAAGAAAGGGAAAAAAACCACTTCTAAATTTTTTTTTAAATTCACAACTTACTGCATAATTTCCTATTGTTCTTGCTCTTCTGAATTCGTTATTTCAAATAATCTTTCTAGAATGGTGTATTTTTTGCCAAGAAAAGCGCATCAAACTGAATTTAAAAAATAATTGCAATTTCAGGCATTTTCCGAAATTTTCATATCATAGCGATACGAAAAAAATGCTGATATAGATTATAGTAGTAAAAGATACCTTTTCTTTTAATTAATTTGAAATTTTACTATATTTTAGGAAGGATCATTTAACTAACAACCATTAATTAATATTAAAGGATCCCTAATGCAATCTTGAACTCAAAATGTTGAATATACTTTAAAGGAAATTTATGTCATTCACAACTTATAATTTGAAACTGAAGTTTTTATAATTGCAATTAGAAATAATTTGTACTACTATTAATCTCATTGAGAACGTTTAATCGCATTTTCTGTTTAATGTTGCTACAATTTATAGTGTTATATGAATTAATTTGATGTACAGCTCAGCGCAAAGTAATAATTCAAAGTTTTGTCATAACTTTCAAATTTTAGAGCTTTTCCCAGTTTGGATAATTGCGAGTGATAGTGTGTTGTGAGATTCATTGATAGTTTAAAAGCTATTTCTTTCCTTTTTATTTTCGCGTAAACAAATATTCTAGAAAATGACTGCCACTAAAACTTTCCAATTTATTCAGTAATTTCCATTGTTGTACCACTCATTAAACTTTTCTTACATATTCTAATATTTATTTATTTGACATTAAACAATAATCAAAGAAAATTTTTCTATATTGGTTAGACAGGCACAAATTATTGACACATTGGACATAGAACGGATTAAAAAATTAGCATTAATAAAAATAAGCAAGCAAAAAAATTTTTATTTATTTATAAAAATATTGCAAATCTCAAATTTAAAGTTAGTTATATTTTTTTTGTTCTTAATTTATTCTCAAATTGAGTTAAATGAATATAACATTAAATGTAGTCTGAATACATGTAGTCCATTGTAAACATCTTTGTATTTGGTTCTTTTTTTTAAAAATTAAATTTAAAGTTCAAGAATTCTCGGAAATCTTCGTAACTCAGAAATTCTCGTTACCTGTTAAGTAAATCATTTATCTAAAATTTTCTGTCATATATGAGTTAATAAAACTTATATTCGAATAACATATTACATTGCATAATACTTTTTATGATATAACTTTCTCCAGCAACTGATTGTTTTTTTTTTTATGAAGAAAATTCATCTTTTCACTTAACTTAGCTGATTTTTTTACGTGAAATAGTTATTTTTTCTTTCATCAACGTCCTTTCATATTAAATAAACATTTCATGTTTATTATTCCTCTAATAAAAATTTCGAAGAAAATTGTACATACAATTAAAATCCGGAAATAAAGAAAACTGCAATTAGTTATTGGAATTTGTAAGAGATTTTTATTCATTCAAATTGGTACATCCGGAAAATGTGTACAAATCAATTTTCACACCAAATTATTTTCATAGCCTTTATTTATCGAAAATTATATGCATAATTGAAAGATATTATTAATCATGAAAGAAAAAACTATGATTGGTCATTAGAATTTCTAGGGATTTTTATAAATTGACTTACTTAAAGATTTTATATATAAGAAGAAATAAAAAAGCACATATCAAACTTCTTGAAATTTATTAAAATACCTGTAATAATTATACTGCGTTTTGACTGTTTGAATTAGTTCATTCACATTGTAAACCAATTTTGTACTTTTATCTTTGAAAAATTTTTAACAATAACGATTATTGCTGTTATTTCTATTCCGTTTATAATTAGTATTAGCTTGATTATTTCTATTTCCATTTAATAATTAGTAGTATTAACTTGATTATTTAACTTCCTAATGATATAATAATAATTCATCTAATAATAAAATTATTTGCTATCAGTTTGTTAAGTGTATAAAACATTTCATCGCTTAGATTATTTTATTTTTGTTTCAACATTTGTTCTTAGCTATTTACACAATGTAATTGCTGAAGCTAATATTACGGTAATAATTAATTTTGGTGTTTTTTTCATGACTAATCAATGACTGCAATTTTCTAAAAATAAAAAGCAAAAACCACTTTTATTTCCAACTAGCATAAGATTAAAATTTCACTTGAAGGCTTTGTTTAAAATTCAATTATATTTACCCATCAAATATTTACAATTATTTCAATCGGTTCATTAAATTTCCATCAGCGCTTTTGTTAAGACGATTTTTTTTTTAATTGTAAGCAATTATCATTTTATCATATGATTGTATTTGTAGGAAGTCGCATTTGTAATGAATTTCCTTCTCTTTTTGGATCAAATTTGCGACATGCAAATTCTTGCAGTGCAATATTAATATCATTCTTCCCACTTTTCCCAAATAAAATTTCAATTTTTTTTTAAAAAAAAAGATTTCTGTCACTTTTATATAACATTATGTTTCAAAAAAAAAAAGTTTTTTTTCTCTTATTTGATAATGCTTTTATTAAGATTAAACTTCAGTAGTTGCTAAATAATCTGCTACTGAGTTTAATGATTTATTATTCATAACAACCTACTATTCAATTTCTAACTCCAACGCATTTAGCTGCTTTAAATACAACTTTCGACAACAAATATCAAATTAGGTATATCGAAAATAATACTTTCATTAAAATTAAATTTTTAATTTGCTAAATTTATTCGAAATATTGCAATTGGCATGAATCTATTTAACGACGTATTGCAAAAAAGATGCAATAAGAGGAATATGTAATAAAAAAGTAATATGAATCTGAAATATGAAATTAATTCCTTTTAGGTATTGATATTGTTTACATTAATATTACGAATAGTTCATTGTCATTTTATCTTATAATTGGAGTGATTTTTTTCCGTTTTTTATAATTAATAATTCTTTAATATTTTGAAATAAATTAATTTTAAGCAATAGTAATTTGTAATTTGTTGTAATGAAAAATCCGTTTCTGACGCAATAAATTCAATTTATCTTGCTATGAATAATGAAAAGGTAATTTTTTCCAATAATCAAAAGAAAGAGCTAAAAGTAAAAGCAAAAATAAATAATTAGATTTTAAGGCTTTTTCAATTTCAATTTTTCCATATAAAATGCTTTTTTCTGCAGATTTTTTATTTTTTATTTAATAGCTAACTTACTTACGTTGAACGATTCATTTTTCTTCATCATCTTCTCTTATATTTGTGTTTTTTTTCCATTCTTCTCCAATTGCTAATTATCAATTAATTATTTTTCATCATGTTTTATCATTCAATCGATTCATTATAATCGTTCAATCTTTTTTATGCATTAATTTAGTTGATAATTTGAAATTAATAATAGAATTAAATTTTAGAAATCATTCTCTAAATGGATCACACCACTGACCTTACTACCAACATATTTCTTTTCTCACTGAATACTTTACAAATTTTAGCAAATCTACTTGTATTATTAGCATATTTTACGAATAATCAACTTATGGCCAATGAAAATATTATCCTTCTTGTCTCTCTTGCTGCTATCGATTTTTTCTATTCTTTATTATCAATACCATACTTAATCGTCTTATTCAGTGGATGGGTTCCGAACGGTATGTTACTGTATTTATAAACTATTGAATTTATATTGTATAATGTAAGGATTTTTTTTTGTTAAATTTTACTGAAATAAGTTCGTTATAATTAATTTTAATATGTTTTTGAAAAGGTATGTGTACTTAAACATTTTTCATAAATCATTTGCTAATTACATTTGATTATTTAATTATGTGATAATAAACTTTTTAAGAATTATATCAAAATTGTAATTATAATTATTTTTCTAGTACTTATAACTTATGTATTGCACAAAAATAAGTTTAATAAGTGATGAAATTCTTTCAGGCGAAGAATATCATTACAACGAGTATTTAATACTCGGTTTTGGTTCCGGTCCGGCATCACTCATGAAAAGCGGTTGTACTATAACTACTTTAATTGCATTAGATCGAATTTGGGCATTATGGGCTCCAATGAGATATTATTCATTGAATAAAAAATCGTATGTTTAATGATAATAATTCTTGTACTGATGATATGAAAGATAGCAGTACAATTAATTTCATTTCTAAAATAGTCAATAGTATCAAGAAAATCGTATGCAAAATCTTCCAAATAGCAGTCTTCATCTCTTCAAATTGACAATTCTGGAATAACAATCATTTATATTCTTTTAAATAATCAATAAAACATCATTTCGTGATTATTATCAATATTTCTTTCAAATTTTCAGCATTTTATTTGGTGGCTTTGTATTTTCACTTTTGATGGCAAGTTTTGATTTATCTTTAATATTTGTTTTATCAGATGGTATTAAACCAGTATCCGGCTGCAATGGTTTTCCTTGTTTTACTTCTAAGGTATCCAATTAACTTTAATTATAATTGTGATATTCATGTGGAAAAAGAAATTTTTATCAGCATTTTGAAGTTTTTATTTGAATAACTGAAGAAATTTATGGGTTATACGAGAAAAACACGAAATAGTCTAACAATTTTGCCACATTTTATTTCATGAACATCCAAAAACTGAAAAGGACTTTGGAATAATTTCTGATAATATTTGATAACTTATTTATCAACTGATGTAATCAATGATATTTTAGACATTTCGTACCTACTGGGGAATGTCCAATATGGTTGTCAATTTACTGTCGTGTTTATTGACTATTGTCGTTGCAATATTGCTAAAAATGAGAAAAATGCGAAAAAAAAATCGCAAAAATTCTTCGATTCGAAAAAAAGAAGACAAATGGGTCAGAAATTTTGGAAAAAAAAGAAATTGATTGATGACTTCCATGCAAACAAGATTTTCATATTACTCAAATTTTATTTTAAAAAAATTTTTAAATATATCTTACTTTAAAATATTTTACTACAGTACAAGTATTACAGGCAAGTCGCGCATCATTTTATATTCTCATCGTATCGGCAATATTTGGTGTCGTTCCAGGCGGAATAAATGGTTGTGCGCAAAGATTTCAATCAGATGTAAGTTTTCCAATTACAATTTGAGAGGCAACAAATCAAATAGTTGTCAAATTAGCTGTTCGATTAATTATCATTAAAGATTTACAATAAGTAGAGTTAATGATTAGCATCAAATTGATGAGAAAAAGAAGAGATGAACAGACATTTTAATCATTTCTTAATATCACTTGATAGCATCTATATCCCTTACAAATTATTTTAATAAAATCTTGTATCACAAATAAATTCTTTTAATAAAAATTTGGTATACATATATATGTAAATTCTCTTAGTAAAAACTTGATTCTCTTGTTAAAATTGATATCAACTAATAAATTCCACATCAAAATCATTTCCAATATCGGTCAATTATTTCAGTTCATTAAAGCATTGGCATTTTATATTCAATTATGTGCATCGATTAGCGGATTATCGCATGCATTCATCTTCGGGATGGCTCATAGTCTCATTCGAAATCGAATCATTGTGATGTTAAAACTAAGCAAATATTTCAAAAAGCCGCCACCACCAAGATCTCAGAATTCCGTTTTTCCAGCGACCAATCTAAATTAATTTTACATAATATCTTCTTTTTTCTGATTAAATTTTTAAATTAAAAATTTTCTTTTTGGTTTCGTTACATTAAATTATCGTCTTGTTCATGATTGGATTCAAATTCTCATTTTTGATATAAATAAATTCATTATTTTGTAACTCTAAGTGATGATATTTAATCTTTGTAAAATTGGAAAATGTTAAAATATTTTTCATAGAAGAGATTAGACAACTAATTTAGTATGAATTTTTTTGAGAAATTGAAACTTCATAAATGGATTAAGAAATTTCAATCACTAGAATACATTAAACAACTTTTTCTTATTCCTTTTTTTGAATACAGCAGAGTTTTTAGTAATAACAGTTATCATAATGAACAGTATAAACATTTTGAAATAAACCTAACAAGCATGACAGTATGTTTACTAATTAAACATTATACCACCCTTGACATTAAATTCAAATGATTTATCCTAAGCCATTATTTTCGAAAATGTTTATATATGGAATTAAAAACAAATAAATAAATAAACGTTTGCGTAAGAAAAAAACTTAGCATTTCACTGACATTAATGAAAATTTTAAACATACACGCAAGCAACATGTTATTAACACGTTTTGGAAATATATTTGCTTCTTTAACAATGCATGATACTATTCGTAATTCATTTGTATTTTAAGCTAATTTTATTATGCATGTACATGCAAAAAATAATATTTTATAAAAATAATTTATGGATCTTTCAGTTAGCGTGTATATTTGCAAATGAAAGGTTAGAGCTGAAGGAGACAAATGGAAAAATTTGTAACAAATATAAAAACATTTCATTTTTAACAAAATTCAGAATAATTAAAAAGAAATCAAATATCAATAATTTGAAATAAATATATCAATTCTTTAAAATGAAGCGTTAACATTGAGAATAAAAGCTGCAACACTCGTGGATTGTCGATCAAATACTGCGAACTATTCCATTTGGGATTTGAAAGGGATACCAGCAAGTAAATGCATTTGATATGCAAATTTTTAGCAAAAATAAGAAATGGCAGTAGTAAATCTTTCAAAAGTTTATTTTTCAAAAATTTTTTTTTGAGAGCGGAGGCTGGAAAGAACTCAAAGTTCAAACAATAAAATTGCGTGAGATTATATTTAATTTAAATGGAAATTGAATATTTCGTCTTGCTATGCAAACTGGAAATGAATATAAATTCACTGAGATGCACCATATATTTCAGCTCCTTCGAAACTTTTTTCATTTTTAAAAAAAAAATTTTCTGACATGAATAAAACTAATAAAATGAAATAAAATAATTTAAAAAATTTATTGAAACCATTCCTCCAAGAATTAAAACTAATATAAATTTATATTTCCACAACTGCATATTCGGTCTTCGGCTATTTCTATAAAATTTTTTCTATTATTTCATTTTATTTTTTTTGCAACAAAAGTTAGTTCAGAAGAAGATGAAATTGATAAAAAAAAAGAGATTATCACGTAATGCTAATTTTCATTTAATGTAATCTATTAGCACTCAAGAAAAATTTAACTTTCACTAATATTAGTTTTTTTTAAAATTTTAACATTATTGGAGGATGAAACTTTTCGAATGAAACAAGAGGAATTTAATAAAAGTTCACACATCACATAGCTTTAATTTTGACTATTTTTGATAAGAATTTTACTGTAACAAGAAGAAATTACTTATGCAATTTCATTGTTCATAATGGATTTTGATAATGTGTCATTCTCATTGCCAAACTTCTCAATAATTCAATTTGGACTACTTTAGTCAAAATTAATATCCTCATTAAATCCCACTTCTGAAATTGGAATTAGCAAATACGCTGATCTGTGATAAATCTCAAGTTATGTAAATTACTTTACATGAGAGAAATATGATTTATCAGTATGCTGTTGATAAAGTTGTAGATTTTTCTCATTTTAAAAGTGGAACATTTCACTGTAATTGTTTTCAGGATTGATAAAATGAATGTATCATTGTTTGGTGAGATTGATTTCATAACTAAAATTTCTTAATATTTTCGTATTTATGCAACAACCGATTCATCTTTTTTTATTTTCATCGAATAGAAATTTTCGATATATTTATGCAATAATCTTTCTTTTGAAATTGAAATTAAAATAAATTAAAATATGTAATAATAATTAAATTGTTACAGTTAAAATTTAACATATACACAGAATAAATTTTTATTATAACTACGAGTTAATGACAATGTTTTAAAATACAATGGAATATATTTCTGTTAATTTGATGGAATCAAAATTTTTGCTTTTATCAGTGAATCAGACAGGGTTGATAGAGGTCAAGTAGTGCAATATTAAAAAGGTTAACTTAGGGAAGTGCTAAAGTGGAAATGAAATTATTGATTTATGACATAATGCGATAATTTTTATTAATGAAATTATACGATAATTTTTATCTTTTAACATTGACTTTTAACACTTTTAACTTTTAACATTAAAAGATAATTTTTATCTTTTTTTTTAGTAGTTGCTGATTCGTTATATTTCATTCATGTTTGTGTTAAAATTAATTTATGCTATTTTCACATTTATAAGATTATATCTGCAACATGAAATAGCTTCAAATAATTTGAATTATACATGTATCAGTAGAATGTTATATTTTTAGAATGTATTCTACTACTTTTAATTATTCAATGAGTCAAACTTGAGAGAATTTTGTTTATAGCATAAAAGCTATGTTAATGCTTTTTCATCAATGTATTGATTTATTTTTAAAATGAATTATTAGAATGATTGAATTTAAAAATTGTTCATTGGAAAAAAACGGACAGAAAAAAATATTTCAATATAAACGATTCCATAAATATTAATTTATTTCTTGCTTCCATCTTTTTCTCTGATTATGAAATTTTATTTTCTTTAATTTTAATTTCTCCTAATAAAAATCTGATTATACATTTGATTAATCTTTTTATTTGTGCTATTAAAAGCAAAAAAAAAATACATGGAATTTGTTGAAATCATACTAATATGTAAAAATTAAGGCATTTATGATTTGCAAATAACTGCTAAAATTGAATGAACAAAAAGTAATTTGAACTTCTTACTATTATTATAAAAATACAAATTGGCTAAATTAACAAATCAACGAAAATTTTAACTGCCATTATAGTGGCCCAAAAAAATATAAAATTACAAAAAAAAAAAAACAGTGTCATTTTTTCTTTCTTTTTTTGTCAATTACGGCACAGTCAACAACTGGATTAAACTGTAATTGAAATTATAAAAAATATTTTCTTTTTAATTATTCAATTAATCACAAGTTCACTTACTAAATTTTATTTTAAAAATACCGTCATATGTGTTGTAGAAAAATAACATCCAAAGGTCCATTGAATAATAACTAATAATAATGGCAATTTGTGCTCTTATTTTACTGACATTATGAATTAAATTTATTCGCATTTTATTAGACTGAGCATTAAATGGATGTGTTATAGAAAATTGCAAAAAATTTTGCTCGTTGTCAACAACTCATATTTAAATTCTTAACAAGTCTAATAAACATCCTGATTATGTTTGTCATAATAATTAACCAAAATGTTTATTAGGCTTCTTAGAAATTTAATCATTTTTGTTTTTGTTAATTTTGCAATAATTAAAAAAGTGTAAACTTATTCAAATTTTGTTAAAACTTTGGCCGATTTTATCTTTAATAAATTTGATTTTTTATTTATTTAAATAATATTATTATCAATTCATTCAAATCTAATTATTAAATGGATTGCTTACTAGCAAATAGTACAAATAGTATAAATAGTATAGATTGATTACTTATTATAATTTATCTAATTTTACTATTTCCGATTTATTCATAAACTAAATGCAATTCTATTCATTGATTTATATATTACATTATGCAATTAAACTTCGTTAGAATAAAAGAAAGTCTTCATTTGTATGTATTAGTGTGATTAGAAAATATCAATAATATTAACCTATTAATATTGCTACTAACTAATTATGCTAATAGTATAAAACGTTTTCTTTCAATATATTTAAAAAAATAAAAATAATCAGAAAATTGCTTCTACGCATTATTTTCATTGCTTAATTATTGCTTCTTAAAAAGCAACCTGTTTTTCTATGCTATTTGTTAAATAATAATATTTATACAAGTCTTACATCTTTTAACGTTCATTTTTAATGCCAAAGGGTAAGTAAATAATATCACTGATTTATGTTGAAAAAACTTCAGAAAAATTGGAAAACTTATTTTAGGCTATTCGTTTTCATACAGTTAGTAAGTTTTAGTTTTCAAATAACTTTTCAGTGTTTAAAGTATCATCAGAAGAAGTAGTTTGGTTGTAGTAATGTTAAGATTTCTTTCACAACAATATAATTAATAAAATTCAGTACTCATAGTATCAAAAATTGAATTAATAAAGTATGAAAAATTTTTGCTATATGAACGTATTTTCATCAACAAATTTGTCATCCAAAAATTTTGTTAGCAATTCATGTGAAATTGATTGACAGCTAATTGATTAAGCTTGAATAACCGAATCAATTAAGTTTTTAAATTTCCAATTGAAAAGAGAAAAAAATGCTTTCATGAAATGCAGAAGAGAACTGATAAATTAATATGAGCAAACATTTTCAAATTTCATTTTATTTATTTTTGTTGTTTTTTTTTAGTTTTTTTTTGATTCAAATTATAATGCCGAAGTATTGCTTTAATTTTAAGAAATAGTAATTCTGCGAAAATAATATGATGATTACATCATCGATCCGAGAAATAGAATAAAAATTACAAAATAATTGCAAAATGCGCTAATAGTTTAAAAAATAATATCATAGTCAAAGAGATTTCATATATAAAAATTTATAAGGAAAATAGCATATATTATTTTAATTTCTTAAAATTATATCATCTTTTTACAATCGAAAAGGAACTTGAAGAAATTTCTTTGTTTTACATGAAAATTCACTATCATGGCTTTAATTGAATGAATAAAAAATTTGATTACTGATTTTTTTATTTGGGAATTTTTCTTTTTGCTTCAATAACAAAAATATTGGTATGTGGATCATCAATTCTGATGACACGTAATGCTTCGAACATATTTTGCCACGTCAACAGTTAAGCCTGTTATTGGCATATAAATATTCTCTCGTCGGTTTTTATTGCATTTTTAAATGATATCAAGCTTTAAATTATTGTTTATAAATGAGAAATATTTACATCAAAATATTTTTATTACCAAAGATGTATCCGTGAACGAAATCTGAAATGAATGGAATCTGAAATCTTCGCATTTGATTGTAAAAATTGTAACAAATATATATTGGCATATAAAATTAATAGCCAAAATGTTTGCTTTTAAATTTCTTCTTGATCAATTTGAAATTTAAATTTTTGTCCGCAGATCTCTTTTAAAGGGTCATCTTGAGTTAATAGACACGACCTAGCTGAAGTATTGATCAGCTAATTCCGACTTCCTGAGTTACTTTGTTTCCAGCTGAACTTCTCAACTGACCTTCATAGTTAAATAATTTGATTCAAATAAAAATACTCCATTAATATGCTTAATCAAATGAACTTCTTTATAGGTTAAACAAAAGAATTTAATTTTTGGTATAGGTTATCATTTTTTATCTTTACATCTTTATTTTTTTTTTATTTTTTTATTTTCAGTCCTAATGTCATTTTTACAAAATATGTCGTCAAACAGTTTTGATTAATTCTGCATTTATTAACAGTTTTGTTTCATATTAGCTAATAATCCACTACTTTTAGTTATTAAAATTTAAATTTATAAAAGAAATTTTAAATTCCACACTAACATAATTTGCAAAATATAATTTACAGTATAAAAATATAATTTACAGTATATCTTTTTTGCATGCCATAGACAGAACAGGTCTAATTTGGAACGATATTTAAATATACCTATACATATTGTACAGAACAAATTAAAAAATATTCATAGCTGTATCCGTTTGATATTTTTTTTTTTGCTTTTCTAACATAGCTATGATTACTCTACACTATTACTAAAAATACTTACAATACGGTAGTACAGTATCATCTTTTTGGTAGTAGATGCAATCATTCTGTTCAATTACAGGCTTGTAATAATGAGGATTGACATTTGCATATTCTTATTTGTGTTAATGACGACATTTGTTTATGTTAGTATTTTTGTTATTTCATACAAATATTCCTTTCAATTTGTTAATTTTCATAGATACAAAATAATTTTACTATCATTCCATATAATTGTAACAAAGACTGTTATCAATAATTAATTTTTTATATTAATTTAAGGCTTGTAGTCCGGTGCCTGGTGGTGGCGGTGGTGGTGATAGTGGCGGTGGTGATGGTGGTGGTGGCGATAGTGCTGGTGGTGACAAAGGTGATGGCGGTACCACTCCTGCATCTACTACCAAAAAAGAAGAAAGTATGATATCTGATATTGAAATTATTTTAATGAAATTAAAATTATTTCAATATTGTAGAATTATTTAGAAAGGAGAAAGAGAAGTGCTGATTTGGCAGAATCGGAAAAATGTCAAGGTGTTGAGTTGGATATAATCACGAATGAAGATAACACACCGCAAGAAACATTCAACAATGTTGAGAAGCTTGAATCAAAGGTGACAGATCGGAAATTAAAGTCATAACAAAAAAACAAATGATGATCATCTAAATTTTTAAAAGTGATTAATCAAATGAATAAAGTTTTAAATGCTATGGCAGTTCAAAATTTTTTATGAAAAAATTAAATTAATTATATAAATTGCTATAACTTCTCCATTCAGCCTTTGTGATTATATACTATTTGAGAAATGAAAAATCTAGAATTTATCACCTCAAGTCAATGCTAATCATAGTGATGAATATGTGAGAGAGACACTTTAATCGATGGCAAAAAGCATTTTTTTTAATAAAGCAAGAGAAATGAAGCAAATCATGATATAGTTATTTTAGATTAAATCTTTGGGTCAGGAATTAAATTACAATAATACAATGGATAATATGGAACTTGAATCAGCAGGGTTAGTTTTGATTTGTTAATTTTCTTCACCATATTTATTAAATTTTGAAGTTTGGGAAATTTTACGTAACAATGAATTTTATTTTCTAAAGAATTAGTTATTGGTTTGTTAGCAATGAAATGATCGCAAACATGGTAGCGAGCTTTTTTTTAAAATTGTATCAGATAAAGATCACTCAAATTTTACCAAGCTGTACAAAGCATTTGGTTAAGATTTTAGATTCTCCAATGTTACATTTTTGAAAGTCAAACTTATTAATTTGACTTACGTCTCTTTTTTTAAAACTCACTGAAAATAATAACGAAAACAGTCAAAAATAAATTTTTTTTGAGGAGGCAATTTTTTTTTTTTTGGAAGGTTTCTAAAAATATAAAAGTTCCGTTTCAGAGCTGATATGTTGAAATTAAATTCCTAAAAATACAAAAGTTAAGTTTCAGAGGTGACATGTTGAAATTAATATATAAAGTGGATTCTGAATGCAATGCAGTGCGCCATGTTATGCTTGATGCACTGACTAAAATAGAAATGGTACGTGATTTTTTTATTGTATTTTTAGTGCACGTCATATTATTCGGAAAATACCAAAAACTTTTCTACCATATGTCATTCACTTTTTCCGAATTTATTTAGAGTAAGATTTTTTTACATGATAAAATTGGCTAAATTAAAAATTAGGGAAACAGATTAATAAATTTATCAAATTATGAGTGCAGTAAATGTTAGCAAATTTCAGATTCAAATGATAGCGACGAAGTGCAACTGCTATCCTTCGTTTGTTTTGTACAAGAAAGATTTTAAACAAAATTAATTCTGCAAAAATAATATTAAATTAACCATTGAAACATGATCTAGAAGCTGCAGGAAAGCTTTTATTGCTTATATTTAAATTGGTAAATTTTATATTTGGATGATAAATCCAATGTATCGGTTGATAAATTTACATTCTAAAAGAATAAAATATATACTAATTGTCAGTAAATCATTGCAACCGTCATGCTCTTATTAGGCCAGAAATTTTCCCAAAAGAAGTTTTTACTAAGTTTATCAATTAATAATGGAAATTTATGAAAACTTTTAGCAAAAAATTTAACATTGATTTTGTGCTACCAGTAAACCACTAGGAAAGCATCACAGCTACATCATACATTGAGGATGCATTTAGGCAATGCTAAGTAGTGCTATTTTCAAATATTTGATATGCAATGCAATAACTGCGAGCTATAAGTCTAGAAGTAGGCTTATTCTTGAACCGGAGATAGCAACAGCTAAGAATGGATTTGTCCGGAAATGCTACCGGCGGAATCTGAGAGATTATATCAGTTAGTGTGGTATATGATATGGAATTATTAATTGGTAAGGTAAAAAGGAAAAAGCGTAGCGCCAATTTTTTATCCTTTGAGAGACATTGGTTATTATTGATGATGGCATGATAATATCAGCTGTTAGTTATCATTATCACACGAACGATTTTCATGTGGTAACAGCAGTAATAATTATATTTGCGCTTTCTCTTAAAAAGTGATATGTTTGAATTTTTGAAAAAATTTGCAATTATACTGTAGCAAAATACAACAGTAATTCTTACAAAGTCTGTAATTAATTACTTATACTTCAAATTTAAATCTCCGTACGGTACATGAGTACTCTGAGAACAATCATTTGGTCTTACATTAAATGGTATGATTATAAATAAGGTGAGAAAGTGGAACGAAAGTTGCAAAAGATACTTGCAAAGATTAAAACTGCACAATTTCCAAAATTTCCAATGAAATTTATATTGCTTTTTGCAACAAGCATTTAACCAAAAAAAGAGAGAGAGATAAGTTAGATTAAACTTAGTGATTAATTTATCTATTCTTGCAAAATTTGCTGCTATTAACATTCAATTAAATTTATAATTAAATGTATGCTTTGTTCAATTTTTTTTTTTTATTTTATATTCTTCGAAAAAGACCAATGGCTTTTATTAATCTCATATAAGACGAATAAAAAAAGATGAAAATTTTGATATGTAAATTAAGAGTAATATTTTTTTGCGATTTTATGAATATGTGTTGTATTCACATACATTGTAATATTTTTCATTTTTAAAATTTAATCGAATCTTTCCTCGATTACGAAATTCAAAGAACTGATAGCGAATGATAATGGCTGGAAAATAATTTTAACAACGGATATCATTGATTTCTAAAAAATACTTCAAATAAAGAGAATTATAATTAATTTGGCGAGAGAAGAAAGCATCCACAATACTGTTTGATTTTTTTTTTTTGCTCTTTTTTGTTTCTATCAATTTCTATCAATGTTATTGTTATTGTTGTTGTTTTTCATGATCATCTTTAAAATTAAGTAATGTATCCATGTCCGTGGTAATACTTGATGATAACTTTAGCACCATATCAACTGTTGTTGTTGTTGTTGTTGTTGTTGCTAATTTACTCTGCTCCATTCTTTTTCGTGATTCCGTAACTGATAAACGTCTAAAAAAGAGGATAAAAATTTTTATTATAAATTAATTCAATTTGAAATTAAAAAGTCATTTATAAATTAACTATGATTTTCCAACATTTTCTAACACGAATATTAATTGAATAAGCAATATTATAACTTAAAATATTATCCTACATTTGTTGCAAATATGATTGCATACAATGACAATAAAAAAAAATAGAAGTGATCAAATAAATATCATTGTTTGTACAATATGACAAATAACATGATTATATTTATGAGTGCGAATTGTGAAAGTTTATTCTGATAAGTTAGCGGTCATAAAAGCATGATAAGATGAATCAGTTTTTTGAATTACAAATCATATACGAAATAACCTCATGCTTCGTGCTGGTTCAATTGCATGAAGTGCAAGTTGGTACCGTCCGGCAAGTAACGTATGATTGCATGCCAAAAAATATTGCCATAATTGAATGAACAAAGTAAGTGATTGCCTTCTTATTTCTTTATTGCATGTAAAATATATTAACTACAAAGAATTGAAATTATATAAAAATTAATTAAAATTTTTCTTTTATCATAAAATAATTTAAATACGAATGCATAAAAATAGAGTAGGAATTTTTTTTCCGTTTCATTTTGTTATATTTTTTTACAAAGAATTACCGGATTTGAAATATGTGTGATGGAGTAAAATACGGAATGCAATACGGCAATCCATTTATCGTTATATGCAAAAATATGAAATGATAGATAATATATAAGCATATAGCTAGAAAATATTGCTACTGCTACTACTACCTAAAATAAAATTTCAACTTGCATATGGTATTCAGTTACTTTGTCTCCATTTGATAATACGGTATACATATGATATGATGATATATAATATACATATGATATGATGATATACGGTATATGGGGTGCATACGATATACGGTATATGATACACAGTGCATGTGATATGCGGTATATGGTATACAGCGCATATGATATATGATAAGATATTCCGGCTTTTATTAAGGATTTTGTTAAGCGTTACTAATATGGAAAGTAAACTGACAATGATTTTATAACAAAACATTTTATACATTTATCAGTTATAAAAATGTAATTTTCGGCTCAGAAAATTAATAAATTTCAAACAGTAATTAGTTATTGCCAAATTTAGAATATTCAAAATTTTATTTATATTTTGCAACAAATAAAATATGGTTTTAATCTCCGAGAAAGCGGGTTTCTGTTATCATTAAATTTTTCAATTTTCTAATGTATTATCGTTAAGAGAGAAATTTTGTTCTCTTGAGAAATAATGAACAACATTTTCTATGACGTCGCTTTGACGTCATCGTTTAAATTATAATCGTTTCGAAATGTTGAATTCCCAATTTCTAATCATTAATTGAAGTCAATCAGTCTCTTGAATTTGTGCATTTTTTTCTTCTCATCATTTATTTTACGTGAAGAAAAATGTATTAACAGAAGTTGCTTACGTGATCATTTTGTCATTATGTATATACCTATGTGTATATGACATTTGTGTCGCTTAGTGAATTAATCGAAAATGGTTGAAATGAACGATATGTACAATGCCTAATAGCCAAAGGCATATATTTGAATGAGTTATGGAAAAATAATTATCACAAAACCTGTAAAACAATCCTTTGCTGTTGGTGGCTTGCCTTTTTCATGGATTTTTTTGTTAATTCGATATGAGAATGTTGCGCTCCCAATTTCATCGACATTTCTATTAGCAAAACGCTGGCACTACAAAAAAGTACTATCCGAATTATGTTAAATCATTTAACTTAATTAAGTTTGAACTAATCGATAAGTACTAACAATTCTACTACAACCATTACAGTATCGTATTAAAAAAGATGAAAAGTATATTATAAAAAAAATCATCACACATATGAATGCGATGTTGATAAAAAAAGAAAATGAAAGAGTGAAGAAAAGAAAGAATTAAGGAGGAATAAATAAAATTTCAACTTTTTTAGTCAAATGTATATATTTTGTTCAACTTTTTCGTTAGTTATCATACATTCCCTCTTTATTGACAACTATCATTTCACATTTTAATTGGATGTGCAGTTTGTTGACTAAAATGCAAAGATAGATTGCATTGACTTGTTGCATCAGTTTTAGCCTTAAGAAAAATGCTGATATAATCAGATATATTATATATTATACATCATAATTATCATATTCAAATGTATTTATTGATCATTTGAAATGTTGCGAAAAATTCCTTCATTTATATTTTACTATAATATGATAATTACTAACAAATTTAACAAAACTTACTGTTGAAGAGCACATTTCCTTTTCCAACGTTTGTATAATTCTATTAATATAATTGGATTTGATACGGATATTATTACAATAGTGATTAATTCAAGCGGTGTATAAGTATAAATATAAATATTTGATTGATTTAGAATATCTGAATTTATTTGTCTTAAATTAACAAAAAAAAAAGGAAAAGACCATTTAATGCAAATTTTATTGCTTCAATCAAATTTTTGACCAATAATCCAAATCATATACAATAATTAATTTTTTTATGTGTTCAAAATTAATAAATAATTGATATATCATTTAATAATTACAAGAAAAAAATGAAGTGAAATGAAATACGCACGTTGATAACCAAAAGTATAATAATCGTTGCTTTGCAATGGAATAATCATACAACATGCATCCAATAATAGTAAAATGATATTTTGGCCAATAAAAAATACCCAACAAAAAATGCTTAAATTGCAGAAATTTTTAATAATAAATTCTCATATATCTTTTTAACAGATATCACATATTAAAATTAATTCAAATTCAACCTAAGTGTATCGCAATATTTTGCTTAATAGAAATGATAAAATAAACTTATAGCACATTGAAAAAAAAACTACTTCAAAATAACGCTTGAATAAAAAATAAATTTTCAATTATTTATAATTTCATATTGATAAATTACTTTAATTTAAGAATTATTTTCATTTGTATTATAATATCATTGCTAAAATTGTTTTATAATCATTCCTATGTATAATAATTTCAATTTTTTGAAAACAATTAAAATTTATGCATTGAAAAAATTTTTTTGTAACTTATTAAAAAGAAAAGGGAAGAAAATCACCTGTAACTGCAAATTTTTCTTATCGAAACTAACATCGTGTAACGACCATAAAACATTAATGCAGCTAGTCGATCCAAACAAACGGCACTTATATGTCTAATTTTGAAATTTAGTTGTATGAAATTTGCAAAGTAAATGGATTTATTGATACCGAATAGATTGTAATAGAATAAAGTATCGAATAAATGTTTAGAAAAAAGTTTAATATAATAAAA